GATGATAAGAAGATTGGTGTTATCGTTAAGAACAAAGATGATGCTCGGAGACTTCAAGAAGCAATCGATCAGTTCGTATTATGGTGTAAGGATAATGACCTCGATATAAATTTCTGGAAGTGTAAAGTATTTTCACTTTATACCAAGCACAATCCAATCATTCATGATTACACCATAAATGGCCTAGAAATTGAGCGAGTATCCGAGATACGCGACTTGGGAATTATAAATGATCGAATGATGAATTTCAATAGACACATTGAATATGTGTGCAACAAAGCGAATGCGGCCCTTCAATTTGTGAGACGACAATCATTTTATTTTGAGAAGGACATAATCAAAATTTTATTCTTCGCCTTGGTTCGATCTAATTTGGAATTTGCAAGTGTTATCTGGTCGCCACATCACATCACACATAAAAAGTTTGTGGAGAGTGCGCAAAAGCAAATTGTTATGCTCCTAAATGGCGATCTCCGAAGACAGCGAGAAGACAGTAACTATGTACTTTCTCCATACACTGACCGTTGTGCCAACTTCAATCTTCAAACACTAGTTCGCAGAAGAGTCAATGCCTCCGTACTCTTCATTCACTCAATTATTGATGGGAAATATAACGCACCCACTTTGCGCTCCAAATTGCAACTAAATGGGGGAACGCGTACAATACGAAATCCCGAATTTATCCGCCTTAAAATGTGCCGCACAGAGCACTCAACTTCTTCACCATTTAACAACGCTTGTCGTGTATTTAATTGTGCAGCATTATTCATTGATCCTTCGTTACCTCACTATCAATTCAAACAAAAGCTACTTCAACTTCCTGATGCAGCATTTGGAATTTGGACTCAATTAAAATCAAATTATAAAAAGAATTACATTGGTAATCCCGAACTTTTCCGTACCGTTGGCCTGAGTTGTCCGTAGGTACTTTTGGTTATTTTTTGTGAATTTTCTTGAAATACAGGCAGTGAAAATATAATAATGAAAATAAAGTGAAAAATCGGTCACTTTAACTAAAACTTCAACAATTTTGTATGAGAGGTACCCGTAAACCGATTTTTATTGGCTTTAAACTTTCTGAGGGTTCATTTTTTGGAGAAAAAAATAAGATTATGAAAGTTTCATGTTGATCGCATTTGCAGAAGTTTGGTTTTTGGCCCTTAATTTTTTTCCACAAAAATGTCGACAAAATTTGAGGACAAAAAATCAAACTTCTGCAAACGATCAACATGAAACTTTCAGAATCTTATTTTTTCTCCAAAAAATGAAACCACAG